AACAATGGGAGGGGGGGGGGGGGGTTGAATAATGTTAACGGTTGTTTTATGTTTGGATTAAATTCCTGAGTTGTACATTGTTATATACTGAAATTTATAATACCGAAATTGTTATAGACAACTGTATACACATTCAGTGTTTCTTACAGACTTTTTTCTCCAGGGAGGGGGGGGGGGAAGAGACGACGACGACTATAATTTCCATGGCGGCGGACGGGGCGGACACTGTTAAAAGTATATATTGTATATATTTTCTATATAAATTCCACCCCCTCCCCCCCCCCCCCCCCCCCCCCCCCGCATCCCGAAGAGATGCCTGGAAGAAACTTTGTACACATTTATATCAATTTTCATTGTCGTCTGGTATGGAGAAATTGAAAATTAGAGAAAGATGAAGAGACAGAACTTGCTGGCAAATTTTAAACAGACTTCAGGCTTTTTGACTTCAATTTCTCTAAACAACCTGAAGATTTAACAACCTGAAGATTTAACAACCTGAAGATTTAGCAGCCGAACTTTTACTCATGTTAATACAATCAATGGTTTAAACAAAAAAAAAAAAGTCTGTATATAGCTTTAGGCCAAAATATGTGGAAAAAAATCTTTTCCGGCAGGTACATAACACAACAATGACCTCTGGAAAAAGAGTTCCGATTGACCCACAAGTCTGTAGAAGAAAGCAGTAGGGTTGGGGCACACTCTACGTCAATCGACTAAACAGCCTTACACGTCCGGCACCAAAATGGAACCGTCAGGTCAAGGAGAAAGTTAACCGTCCTAAGACACGTGACGACCAGATATTGAGGCCGATGTCACGGGTTACACGAGGAATAAGCTGGAGACCTTGACCTTGGTCAGAGAACTCAGAGTTCAATGTCCAGAGTTCAGCACTAGTGTTGGAGATGATGATGTATGCAACTTAATAATAGTTAATATCATATTTTTTTTCTAACAGTAAAATTTAGTCTTAAACTGTGTTCATGTTTTTTTTTACTTTTCTTTTTACATTTTTTTTTACTTTTTGTTATACCAAATATTGTTTTATACTGTGAAACTTAAAAGTTAATCATAATTTAATTCTTAAATAATTTTGTTTCCATAAATTAGATCTTTTCTTTTATATGTGGGAAACTCAAATGTCAATGTGTTTGATATTTTGTTTATAAAATGTAAATTTTGAATGAAGTGTTGTGGTGTGTTGAGAAAGAAAATTCGCGACAAAATAGCTTGTATGCCTACTTATCACAACAATATTAGCTAATTTTCAATAATTTGAAATAATAATCAATACTAACCTAAACTGGGAGCTAAATGATTATTGAAATCAATAAATTATCAGAAGTAACTGTAAAAACATATATATATATATATATATATATATATATATATATATATATATATATATATATATATATATATATATATATATTTACGATTAAAAAGTCAGTTTACGTTTTACCATCATTTTGCAACACATCATTATCGGTTGATGAAATAATTCATTGTCATTATTTAATTATCGACATTTTATTTTAAAGTAATGTTTGACGATCTCAAAAATATTTTTGTCGGATTCTAAAAATGTTTTTCAGAAAGAAATTTCTATTAACGAAACTAAAGAGAAAAATGTTTGATTTGTATAAAAGGAAAATAGGATATAAAAATATTATTTGATCGAAGAAATCTTTTCAACTTTAGGCTCCATAGTTTTTAACTTTTTTTTTCAACATATTTTATAAAATATTCTTAGCACAGACCATTTTAATTTAATGTGTGATTTTTAGGATGCTCATGATCATACACCAGACGTTTAAGAGGGCAGATGAAGTAGAGTTCTTCTATTTCGGTTACTACAGTAGAGGAAGTGACAGTGTTGTTAAAACTATGCCCAGCCGCCTTTACTTTCCCTAACGTAAGCGAGGTATATATCAGAGTAAGGTGCACTGACGGACGTCCTACGGACTCAAGCTTTAGATGTGAACACAAGGCTACGGATGAGCTGTCGTACGCTCTACTATCCGACCACGCCGTTATATAAATTACTTTGTGTTTTTGGAAAAGAATAATTAAATCAGCTTAATTAATTAAACTGAATTAAGCATAGTGAAAAACAGCTGATGTCACACATTAGTTAGTGGGTGAGTTGACTTTTATTTAATACAAGCATGCAAAGATAAATATCAGTCCAGGTTAGGACTGCCTATGTCTTCGGTTATATCCAAACTCTAGATGTTCAAGATAACAGTCGAGCGCTCTACGTTCCTTCGTTTTCTAAGTGATGACCAACATAATTTTTTTTAAATGGCGGGTCAATATAATAATATTCAGATCTACGCATTGACCGCTTTCTCTAACAGATCTGCGTTTTTTTTCAAAATCCCTGCTAACAACTTTCGCATCAGGGATCACCCATAAATAACGTCACGTTTTTTTGACGATTTTTATATCCCCCCTCCCCTCCGTCACACATCGTCACAAAAAGCCAGAACCCCCACCCCTAAAATGACGTCACACCTCAGCCTACAACCACCCTCAAAATTGCAGTTGAAGTTTTCTTAAAATACGGTATTTTTCCTAAATCGTGTCAGCACTCTGTCAACATAGAGTATTTTAATCAATTCATATCACAATTTGTTAAAACAGTCTTTAAATCGAGAAATAACGGCGAAAACTCGTTTTCTAACATTGCTTTTTTATAAAGCAAAAGTGTGACGTCACACTATCTGAACCACCCCCGCCCTAACCTTTATCACACATCGTCACAAAATGTGACGTCATTTATGGACGACCCCTTATTGGTGTCCTCATAAAAGCTCCAAGGTACTTAGTTTAAATCCCGATATATATATATATATATATATATATATATATATATATATATATATATATATATATATATATATATATATATATATATATATATATATATAGGCCTATATATGTATAAAGATAGAGAAAGTTCATGAGTCCTTTTTATAAACTCGTAAAGCTCTATTTGAAATAAAGGAAATAGAAAAACATGTTTGGACGATAACGTTTTGTTGATTTCCTTGATAAAAGAATATATACACAATCGTATATATATATATATAGGCCTATATATGTATAAAGATAGAGAAAGTTCATGAGTTCTTTTTATAAACTCGTTTAAAGCTCTATTTCAAATAAAGGAAAAACATGTTTGGACGATAACGATTTGTTGATTTCCTTGATAAAAGAATAACACAACAATCCAATCCTTTGAATAGATTCCTCTTTGGTCGTCACAACAAAGGTCATGTGGCGATGTCTATCAAGGTCATAGAAATAATCTTTGCCCGGAGACACGACAGAGCGCATTTGTTCGGAAAATTAATTAAACTCGGGGATGGGCGGATGTGTGGGTATGTGTTTTGTTTGTGGTATGTTGTCGTATGTGGAGATTTGCCTTTTAAAAAAATCAATAACATATTATTATTTTTTTTTTTTTATTTACGTTGAAATGCAGAGTATGGTGTAACTAAATAATCAGGCAAGTCTTATCGATAGGTTGGCCTATATTTTGATAGTATTTCTAGTCTATTTATTGTCATAAGCCTGAATAGAACCCTAGATATAATCCTGACCCTATCCCTAACCCTGATACTTGCAATTACCGTAAGGATAGCAGAATCAAACACGACAGTATTTAATTTTAGAGTCTTGGATAGTTATCACTACTAAATCTATGAAATGTTCATACTCTAGTTAAATTAGTCACATAAAAATAATTTTACTTACAAGAAGGGTAGACAGAAATTTAATATTAAAATTAAAGTACACTTTAACATAATGGATTTAGTTTTGAAGTGGCTGCTGGGATATTTCCTATCAAAACAACGAACGTTAATTTAAAAAAAAAAATATTTACCTACATCTGTTTTAACTAAATTTACTTAATCATCATTGGTGTAATTAGATTAATTTGTAAAAAAAAAACAACCACCAGGGCATGATTTGTTAATGAAAAATAGATTAAGCCAGAGGGGTAGCGACCCTTCCCGGCGCCCGGGGACAAACTTTTCGCGATTTGCACCCCCCCTCGAGATTTCGATTTGCACCCCCCCCCCCCAAGAGATTTCCATTTGCACCCCCCCCCCCCCCTCAAACTTTCGATTTGCACCCCCCTCAACCTTTCAATTTATTTTTCCAACCCATTTTGGCGCCCCCTAAGGTCGGCGCCCGGGGACATATGTCCCCGTCCCCGCCTCCCCCCCCTCGCTACGCAACTGGATTAAACCTTTATAGAGTAGATGAGTGTACTTTTAAAGTGAAATTACCTACATTTGTAAAGAGCAGATTAAAGGGAAATAACTTATATCTGAATAGAGTTGATAGATCTTTGGTTAAGGGGAAGTAACTGACATCTGTAAAGAGCATATAGGGTCTCCGGTTAAAGGGAAACATCTTTTTTTTAAAGAGCAGATGATTTTCCGGTTAGATGGGGAAAAATTACAACTGAATAGAATTTTTCGATCTTTGGTTGAGGTAATAAAACTTTAACCTGGAAATTGCAGATGATACTCTGAATAAGAGGAAATAGCTAACATCTGTAAAGAGCAGCTGGTTCTCTATTTAAGGGGAAACTACTGACATATGTAAAGAGCATTCGATTCTCTGGTTAAGGGGAATCAATCTACATCTGTAAATAGCAGATACACATCTGAATAAGGGAAATAACGTACATCTTCAAAGAGCAGTTGGATATCTGGTTAAGGGGAAACAATCTACATATGTAAATTGCAGGTTGACACTCTGAATAAAGGGGAAACAACTTACATCTGTAAAGAGCAGATACACATCTGAATAAGGGATATAAATTACATCTTCAAAGAGCAGTTGGATCTCTGGTTAAGGGGAAACAATCTTCATAATAGCAGATGACATTCTGAATAAAGGGAAACAACTTACATCTGTAAAGAGCAGTTGGTTCTCCGGTTAAGGGAAATAATTTACTCTCTGAATAAAGGGAAATAACTTACATCTGTAAAGAGCAGATCGTTCTCCTCGCTCAAGCTGACGGGCGGGAGTCTGGCGGGAATGATGTTGTCGAAGCCCTGAGCCCCAACACACTTGGACCTGTTGAGGCCGTAGGAGTTGCGGCAGCAGCTTGCTGGCACGTATTCCTTCATGTCTGCAGGAGAGGAAGAGAAACATGTATTGCACACGGTGGCGTCGCTAGTTCGGGTGTCACCCGGGGCTGTACGTACCCTTGTCTTAGGTTTAGGGCATATCCTGATTGCAGTCATTTTTAGAGATATAATACGACAGGGGAAAAAAAGCTGTGTTAATAAATGATGAACAGAACTGGATAATGAACTGTCTTAAACTATGATAGGCTTGATTTGTTAATTTCGTCGCCACATACATACACATAGGGTTACTTAAGGAAAATACTTCGCTTGAGACGTAGCCTTTATGCATTTATAAATTAAAAAGCACCCCCCCCCCCCACCCCACCAATCTCCCTGTCGAGTTGAGCTCTACAATCGCATTTATAATAACATTGAGATTTGTTTACTTTTCAGTTTTTACGACATGATGTTTATTTCTCTCTCACTCTCTCTCTCTCTCTCTGTTTCTCTCTCTCTCTTACACACACACATAGACATACACACACCTCTCCCCCTCTCATTCTCCCTTCTCACCCCCCCCCCCCCCTTACTCGTACGACAGACCCCCACCCACATTCCCTTGACAGCGCCCCAGCAGATATACCCAGGGAGTTGTGAAATCTTTGAGTAATGAGCTACGCTACAGACAGTGAATCTTGTCAAGGGCAATTAACACAAACTCCGCCTTCAACAGTCAACAAAAAATATTGATTTACCGTTCTTGTCAGGAGCTTGTTTCTCTAGCCAATAGCTAATTTATTTTATTTTTTAGTTTCTAAAACAATTAAGTCGTTTCCTTTAATAAATTACGAAAAATCTGCGGAAAACATTTTCTTTATCGGGCTTTCCAATTCGTAAAATTTTTTTTTCAATCAATTAAGGGTTAACAAAGAAAATGTCCCATTCGTTTGATTTAAACTGCTTAATTTTTTTTTTTTTTTTTACAAATTTCCTGACGGAAAATTTGAGTGTTATTTTTATTGTGATATTTTTAGACAACTCTGTACAGAAATGAAGAACTAATTACAGGCAAAACTGATAAAATTCTAATTGAGCTTCTTCTTCGTTCTTAATTCTAATAATAAATAAATAATCCTCTTTAGACCTAGCTATCCATTGGGCAGATGAAGTAGAGTTCCTATGTTTCTTGAACTCGGCAAATGAAGGGCAGTGTGGTCAGTACTTTGCCCAGCCTCCTTTATTTTCCATAACTTGAGTTCGGTATCCATCAGAACTGGATGGACGTTCTACTGGATTGGACTCGGATTCGAACTCAAGACTTTCGGGTTAGCAGCCTAATGCTCTACTGCTTAGGCCACGCCGTCCCCTTAATCGTAATGTTGGACGGTATTTCATCCAACACAATTAAGTATTACGTGTCAAATTGCTATTCGCCATATAGGCTACACAGACTATGATTTGAGCCTACGTTTCTTTTTTTTATTTACTTCCATATCCTTTGTCAATCAAAGAACAAACTACAAAGCAGCAGTTGCCAGATTTTGGTGCCCATGAAAAAGTTTAATGGAGGCCCTATGTTGCTTAAGAAACAAAAAGGAAAAATTACGAAGCTGGATTTAAAACGATCCATTTTTTTAAGTTAATCGTACTTTTTAATATTCTTGACATCATGTTTATTTTTTTCTAGCATCATCAAATTGCAAGATTTCGACAAATTATCAGACGCACTTTATGTTTCAATAACTCTGGTATTTAAATTTAAAGATGAACATTTCGAACTATAATCAGTCAAATTTAAGCACGAAAAGTAAAAAAAAAAATCTGGCAAGGGTTGCCATCGTGGCAGATAGCTCAGGGTGATACCAGAAACTTCAGTAAATATTAGGCAATCGGGCTGGTGTGTTTGCAGCGGGCGGAAGTTCACGTCTGTCTGTGTGTCTCGTCTTGTCCGATTGCTGGCAACGTTGTAACTATGTTTGCTGATGTTAAAGACTTGAGTTAAATGTCAAGGTAAAAAAAAATTATCTTCAATATTTCAGGTTTTGAAAAGTGCAATGTATATTTTATTTCAATGCGTGAAGCTATCGGACTGAGATAGATGAAAAACCAAGATTCTCGTGTTTACTAATTAGAAAAAATTTAAATCAGCAATAAGGGATTCCATTTATGTGATAATTAATAGTTTTTAGTAAGCCTATGTCTAATGATTTAAATGTTAAAACACTACCCTCAAATTATTTTATAAATTGGATATGTTGTTTTTAATTATTCAAATTTATTTTATTTTTTGCAATCGGGGGCCTTTTTCTAATTACAAAGTATACTTACGTTCAATAGAATAACAATTCTACAGTATTTTTGTATCTTTAAACTTAGTGGTTAAATTTAAAAATAATGCGCTATTTTTACACCGCACTTTGCGCAATGGCGCGGAGACATGCTATAGAGCTCGAAATAGAACGACTTTAACCATTAAAAGCTGAAGGGAATCTTAGCTTTTAAGGGGTTAATGTAATGACAGCAACTGGTAGCCAATAATTGAGTGTGACATCCAACAAAAGATGGTGTTAATGTTAAATGTAAACTTTGCTGATAGCAGCTAAAGGGTTAACTCTGTGTAGCCGGTGAGAGTGGTAACCGAAGGGTTAATATACGATTGGCTTTGACTAAAGGGTTAATGTAAAAAGTGACTAAAGTGAAGAATAACAGATGGAATAGCCAAAGACATGCAGAGTTTAAAGAGTTAATCATAGACTAGTAGGGCCTAAAGTGTTAATGTCAGCTGTAACCATCGTCTAGTAAGAGGTAAAGTGTTCATGTTAGCTTTGACTATTAGCTAGTAGGAGGTAAGGTGTAAATGTAAGTATGTCCTGACCGTGGATTAGTAGAACCTCACTAATGAATCCAATAGACCATTGACCAGAAGAAATTAAAGGAATAACTTTGGCGTATGGATTCAAATTTAGAAACTTAAATATCATTGAACATATAAAAATAGTACCGCAGAAAAAGGTCAATATCAGAGTGATAACTAACTTGAGTATGCGAACTCAACTCCAGTAGGAATTTTTAGTGTTAAATGAAGTGTAATAATTGATATTTAGAAACTAAAATATCAAAGCACATGTTATATCAATAAATTATAGGAAGTAAACGGTAAAAGCACATATAACGATAGTATTTCAAAAGGATTACTGCAAGAGTGATAACTATTGATGGGACTAGCAATGGAGAGCTAGACTACTAATCCGAAAGTCTCAAGTTCCAATCCGGGTTCTAGTCATTAGAACGTCCCTGAGTCCACCCACCTAACTGATGTTATGGAAAGTAAAGGACATAGTGCTGACCACACTATCTCTTCATATGCCGATGTCTCTAAAACAGATGAACTTCATCTGCCTCATGTGTCTTGGACTCGAACAGGAAAAGATGATGATGATGATGATAACTACCATGAATAGATGACCTCACCTCCAGTTTTATTCCTGAACCAGTAGGTGTACTCTCGGTAATAGGCCCAGGATGTTGTTGAGTTGATGCCTCCGTACACACCGCAGCAGTTGAACTGCAAACATGGATACAAGATATAAGACCTCAGACAAAACGATCGCAGATAAAAACATCCCCTGACAAAATATCTTAAGGATAAGATACGTCAGGATAAATGATCTCCGACACAATATCTCAGGAGGAATTATCTCATTTCTAAAAATAGGTGTGATTTTGTTGTTGATAGTGTTGTAATATCAGGGAGTGTTAGCGTCATAAATTAGGGTTAACGGTTAGAATTGTGTTCAGGTTTTGGTTAGGGATATGTTGAGCATCGTCAGCAGCAAGCCATATTAGTATTCAGATTATTACCGATAACCTAACACACTGTCACACAATTAAAAAAAAATTATAAAATTATTGTGGATACCCCGTTAATACAATAGGGCTGGTAAGTACATCACCAACCAGTTCTACGGCTAAAAAAAACCTGCTTGAGCCACAGAACTGGTTGGTGACCTACTTACCAGCCCTATTGTGCAGGTTTACATTCATTTACTGCAATCGAGACCAAATATGCTCGACCAATCATTCTCGCCGTTACTTAAATTTCAACCAATCATGTTACCCCGAACACCATCTTGACCAATCATTACCAGAGTAACAAAAGTCTAGACCAATGAGCGCTGGAATGTACTGAGGTCAGTGCTGAACGTGTGTTACTTACTAAACTCTGCATGTCGTCCCACGCCCGAGTGACTTCTGTTTTTCCTGGCGCCCCATAGGTTGTGTTGAGTGACTTGGACAGTTCTGTCAGGATAGCATCACCTACCTACATTGGTAACAACATGATTGCATGTATATATATATATATATATTTATATATATATATATATATATATATATATATATATATATATATATATATATATATATATATATATATATATATATATATATATATATATAGGGGGTCATCCATAAATGACGTCACGAATTTTTTGACGATTTTTACCTTCCCCCCCCCTCCCTCCGTCACACATCGTCACAAAAAGCCAGATCCCCCTGAAATGACGTCACAGCTCAGCCTATAACCCCCCCACCCCTCAAAGTTGCAGTTGCATTTTTTTTTAAATATCGATATTTTTCAAAATAGAGTATTTTAATCAATTCCTATTACAAATTATTAAAACAGTTTTCTAAAACGCGAAATAACGTCTAAACTTCGTTTTCTAACATTGCTTTTTTGTAATGCAAAAGTATGACGTCGCACCATCTGAACCCCCCCCCCCCTCCCCCTCATCACACACCGTCACAAAATTACGGACCCCCCTCCCCCGTACGAGTGTGACATCATTTATGGGCGACTCCATATATATGTATATATATATATATATATATATATATATATATATATATATATATATATATATATATATATATATATATATATAATATCACTGCACAATAGTTCAATTTATGTTGCTTTTTTCAATAAAGAGGATGAATACCACAGAAAAACAAAACAAAAAAAGGCAACTAGAAACGTTTTTCCCCTCAGAAAACATCTCATTACTACGAAACAACAACAGATGAAATAAAAAAAAAAATTGACCGACACTGGTCCAATATCTTTATCAACTAGCTCATAAAAACTCCGACGGTCTTAGTAATATGAAGAAAAAAATCCTTAGCTCAGGACGCAACTCGGAGCTAGGCTGAAGGAGCTCAATAAACACCTCTAAAAATGAACCAGCAAAAACTGAACGAGGGAGAAAGTAAACAGCTTAAATAAGATTATCAACAAAACCCCTTACACTAGAGCTGGCTGATCGTGGAGGAAGTTTTTACTGTAAATATCGATAAAAGGTGTCATCTTTGCTTGGCGATAGGAAGCCGCGACTTCATTAGTTAAAGGTAAACATCTAACGGTTAGTTTAAAGACAGTTTCGGAAAAAAAATTATTCAGACTAATCTTTTAGGTAAAGAGGATTATATTTACCTGGTAAATATATTGGTCCTTTAATAAGTACAAATTATACTTCGATAATGTTAGCTTAATAGTTGGATGTGATTTTATAACTAGATAGAAATGTGGGTGTGGAGAGTATGTGTGTGGATGAGGTTGAATATATTAAGGACACGTAAAAAGTATTTAGGGAACGGGGACGGCGTGGCGGCAGAGCGCTAAACTGCTAGCATCAAAGTCTCGAGTTCGAACCCTGGGTTAAGTCATTAGAACGCCACTGAGTCCACCCAGCTCTGATGGTCACCCAACCTAAGTTAGGGACAGAAATAGTAATAGTAAAAGTGCTGACCACACTATTAAACAATGCCGAGGTCACAGAAACAAGGCAACTCTACTTCACTTTCTGAAAAAATGAGCAGTGTCCCATACTAAAACTGCAACTAATGAAAATTTACTTAAATTAAATAGGGGTGGGGGAAGCCTGAGGGCGAGTATAAGTGAGGCGAGTTCAGATTTGAGAAAGTGTTAACTGGAATCCCAAGGGGAAGGGGAAAGTAGGCAAGCCAAGGAAATCCTGGAGAAGAACAGAAGACAACGAGGCAAGGGCAGCGGGGCTTAAATAGAGTCGCCCAAAACCGAGTCTGGTGGATAGATGTAGCTGCAACACTTTACTCCTTAAGGGACACACAGGAATAAGAAGAATAAAAAAATAAAAAAGAAGACTTGGAAGCAGAGGCGTAGCGAGGGGGGGGGGGGGTAAATATGTCCCCGTGCGCCGACTTTAGGGGGCGCCAAAATGGGTTGAAAAAACAAATTAAAATCTCATTTTAGCTGCAGTTTTGCATTATAAATATAAAAAAATATATGCGTGGGGGGTGCAAATTGAAAGTTTGAGGAGAGGGGGGGGGGGGGGAGTTGCAAATGGAAAATTGAAAGGTTGCTCCCGAAGGGGGCGCCAAATTGAAGGTTTGTCCCCGGGCGTGGATTGGGTCGCTACGCCTCTGCTTGGAATGTCTAGATAATGAATTATTCTTTAAATTATCAATGTTGCTAGTTAGATCGTATTTATTAAATAAGGTATTTATATTTTATTTTGAATGAGCGTTGGAGGAAATGATTCATGATAGGGGGGGGGGAGGAATGAAGATAATAGTAAATTCGTTGTAAGACCGATGGAAGGCGCTCGAGTAATGAACAACACCGTGTAAAACGATTCGTAATTAACTGATACTCGATATTACGTCACAAGTATTTGTTTACCAACAATAATTACAAGCACAAGTAAACTTTCTATTTTTGTTGTTAAAGAGTTCTATTGATAAAACAAATATTTTCATCTTTTAACATTTTGTCATAAAATTTAACAGCTTCTAGAATTTTTTTATTAAAATGGAGTAGTTATTTAAAAGTTTCGTCTAGTTTGAATGATGGTTTAAAAGTTTGTAGTTTTAAAGAAACTTGGTTTTTAGAGGCTTTATATGTTGTGTAGTTCAAACAATACTTTATACCCAGTTTGGTTTAAAATTAAAAAAAAAAAGCACTGCTTTTTAACGATGTTTAAATAAACCGGTAGTGATCTCCCCTAAACTTTCTCGAATATTCTTATATAAAACAACAGGGGATGGTAACTGGGGATATAGCTATGATTTTTAATCCATTTTAAATACTTAAACTTTTAAAAATAGAATAGAATCTCATAAAAAAAACATTGCGCACCAAGCAAACGCCGAATAAAAACGCGTATAATAGTGCGCAATATTATTAGTACTTTAAAAATTTACATTAGTTTTTTGAGAAATCGGAAGTAGCGTAAATTACTACTTCCAGTCAACGGAAAGTACTCAAAATTTAACAGAAGGTAGAGAATTAGATCTTTTACTTACATGTGAAATTTCATTTATCTATCTGAAATAGTACTCAAGTTATAGGCTTTTGAAAAATTCAAAGTAGGAAAAGTACCACTTCCGGTTGTCGGAAATCGCTCAAAAGTTGATACGGATCTACGATTTTGATATAATACTTATATATGAAATTTCATCAACCTAGCTGTAACGGTACTCAAGTTATCGTGTTTACACACGGACAGACACACACACAGACACACACACGCACAGACATACGGACAAGATTGCAAAATTATGTTTTTCCGTATCAGTGAGGTGTAAAACGTCGAGAACTGTAAAAATCTCGATTTTTTTTTTGCACGATTACAATACTTTCTCTATACTTCGTATATACGAGAAAGTAAAAATTGTCGTATTTTGTTCAATAAAATGCCGAGTGACAATTTAATTTTTTTTTTCTGTAGCTTAAAGGTCCACAAAAACACGGGTTTTGTACCAAAATGTAATCTGAACTTTCGTCGTTTTTTTTCTTATTTGTTTAAATAAAACTACGACTGATAATTTTCTTTAAGTTTAGTTTCTCTAGCCTAAAGGCCTACAAAAAAATACAAGTCATTTAATATGTTTTTAACAGAGCTGAGCCTTATTTTTGTGTGTTTATTACTCTCATCAGGAGACATATGAAACTAGTGACACTAGCAAGATTTGGATTTTAGGTTTTTGTTTTCAACCAGGAAAACTTAAAAAAAAAAAACAAAGAAAAAAATAACAACCCAGTGTACTAGATCTGGTGACAATGAGATAAAAAGAAACAGCTCGTTTCTAGCAGCCAACCAAGACTGAGATATAAAAAAATGTAATCATGAATAGACGGTATTGTTAGAGTTTGTTTGGTTATTCTGGTGGTTCTAAAATTGTATTTTCTCGACACAGTATTATTTCTCAAACGATGGGTGAAACAAGCCAGAAGTAGTATGACGTAGGGAGAGTCGCGTTTATTAAAAGAAAATCTTCAAATGTAATATTTCAAAGAAGGGTATTAGTAAAAGTATTAGAGGTCGGCGTGATCGGGTCGGTTATGCTCATGGTTGCTGAACAGAAAAGTCTCGAGTTCGAATCCTCGGGCAGATGAGGCTCGTTAGCTGGGGACAGCTACTCTTCTAGGAGAGAAAACTCCTAAATTAAACAACTGCTGCCTTGTAGTTTGTTCTTGGTTGGACTAAAGCTATGGAAGCAAATCCAAAAAGAAAAGCAGGCTGAAATTGGAGTCAACGGCCTCAATTGCGCATAACCAGTTGACACGTATCCTTAATTGTGATGGATGCGTGGTCGAGTCGGCAAAAAGCTCATGGTTGATACATTCGAAAAAGTCTCGAGTTCAAACCCTCTGGCAGATAAGGCTCGATCCCCTCCAACACTAAAAATTAAGAACGAAGAAGAAGAAGAAGCTGAACCGACAAGTCTCGAGTTTGAACCCCGGACAGACCAGGCTCGTTAACTTGGGACAGCCGCTCCTTTAGGAGAGACAACTCCAACAGCAAACGATTGCTGCATTGTAGTTTGTTCTTGTTAGTGAACAAAGGCTGAAATCGGAGTCAACATCCTACATGGCGCATAACCAGTTGACACGTAATTGTTTTGGAGGAAATCTCTTATAACACTAGAAGAAGTTCAAAGTATTGAATTACAATTAACGTTTTCCCTAGCCTTTCTTCTTTTCCCTTACCCCAAACACATTTAGAACAATCTTTATTCTAAACCTTTTAGATCTTCAAGCTAGAACTTGATAAACGAGGATTCAAACTTTGTTTTGTTATGTTGATGAAATAGGATTTCCCGATAACATGCGATTCTCTTTCTCTGTTTACTTTTGTCTGAGTGATATTATTTTTATCGTATCTTCTATCTACATTTTTTACTTGTTCGCTATTGTAAACGTTATTGAAAGCGTTAATGAACAAAGTTAAGAAAACGCCTTGTATAGAGAATATCTAAACACTACATAAAAAGCATAATGTG